TTCGTTATGGTGAACAAAACATGCAGATACGTATATATATGTGTATATAGTGTAATAACAGCAAAACTAATGTTTGTTTTATGAACATAATAATTGAATCACTCATATGAACACAATAATTTTGAGTACAGCGATGGTTCACACATTTTATTATATAAATATATCACAATACACACTATTGAATAATATTACTGCAAAAAAACAAAGAAAAAATCAATCAGAGACATTGAAATAATTAGGTTATAATATCTGTGGCAAACCCTGCATGACAGCTCGAGCCAAGCAGACCTCGTCTGGCGACTGCTCTGTCAATGCCTCTTTTTTGCCAGACTTCCCCGCCCTATTGTGGCCAAAATATGCAACCTACGATTTTTATTTCCCCCGTGATCAGGGAACACGAACACTTTTATGAGACAAAATATGTTTTTTTTTTTGTGCCTGTGGGTGTTGAAGGCAAAATAAATGGCCCTTAGCAGCCCAAGGGTTAAAGTAGAGCATTATGAATGAATATTTTTACGAAGGAAAACTTATGCAAAAGTAATAAGCTCAAATAAAATCCAGGAGAGCCAAAGTATTTTTCAGCATCCCGAATGGTTTGAAGAGAGAAACCAATAAACCAAAAGTATACCAAAAAGTCAGAAATGTAACCGAAGCTACCAGCTGGAACAAAGGAGAAAGATCACTAGTACTCAAAATGCACAGAATAAATAACGCACAGCTGATTTGAAAATTGAAATTTTCAATTTTATAATTATTTTTTATTTTCTTATTTTTCAAGTTACATTTGTGATTATTTAGACAAAGTTGCAGGATTTGCTAGTAGATTATGCACAATTTTTTTTAAAGCATTTGAGCAAGTTTGAGAAATTGAACTTTTGGTACCATCAGGTCCTGTCGTGTATGTATGCCATGCGCAGTTTAGAGGTTAATGGTAGCCATGTTGTTTCTATCACATATCTGTCTGGGTCTTCTGTCATTTGGTGTGGGGAGGGGGTTATATATAACTACTACGACAGTTCATGTTATCAAGGGAAAGAGTGTTGAAAAGTCTTGGGCCTTTGATGCTGATAGTGTTCTCTCTGTGCCTGTTGCACCTCTGCTCTTCAGTGGGTCTATTTTGTACATCCTGTCATGTCATCTGGTCTCATGTGGTGTTATTTCTTTGTGCAAGATTGGAACCAGTCCTATTAATATTTTCCAAGAGTAAATTATTATGTATTTCCGGCATGCACTTTAGGGAATACAGATATATATTTTTTTAGGCATCCAGTACTTTAATTGTTTTAATGAGTAGATTTTAGCGATAATAGATCTTTGCACGCTCTCCAGGTCAGCAATTTCTCCTGCTTTGAATGGGACTGTTAATGTGCAACAATATTCCACTCTAAAGAGCGTTAGTGTCTTAAAAAGTAGCATTATTCGTATGGCATCTTTTGTTAAGAAGGTTCATGTTATCAAACCTGTCATTTTTCTTGCAGTTGTGATAGCAACTTTGTTGTGTTTTTTAAAAGTGAGTTTTTTTTTTTTTTACATGATTACTCCTAAATCTTTTACATTTCTTTTATTTTCAATAGTGTGATTTTACTTTGTTTTATGTGAGGTTTCTGCTTTGATGTTTGTTTTTTTCATAGTTGCAGTACTGTAATTTGATCTTAACCTTATTAAACATGTTATTTTCTGTGGTTACCTGGTTGATACCTGGTTGATGGGGTTCTGGGAGTTCTACTCCCCAAGCCCGGCCCGAGGCCAGGCTCGACTTGTGAGAGTTTGGTCCACCAGGCTGTTGCTTGGAGCGGCCCGCAGGCCCACATACCCACCACAGCCCGGTTGGTCCGGCACTCCTTGGAGGAATAGATCTAGTTTCCTCTTGAAAATGTCCACGGTTGTTCCGGCATTATTTCTTATGCTTGCTGGGAGGACGTTGAACAACCGCGGACCTCTGATGTTTATACAGTGTTCTCTGATTGTGCCTATGGCACCTCTGCTCTTCACTGGTTCTATTCTACATTTTCTTCCATGTCGTTCACTCCAGTACGTTGTTATTTTACTGTGTAGATTTGGTACTTGGCCCTCCAGTATCTTCCAGGTGTATATTATTTGATATCTCTCTCGTCTTCTTTCTAGTGAGTACATTTGGAGGGCTTTGAGACGATCCCAATAATTTAGGTGCTTTATTGCGTCTATGCGTGCCGTATATGTTCTCTGTATTCCCTCTATTTCAGCAATCTCTCCTGCTCTGAAGGGGGAAGTGAGTACTGAGCAGTACTCAAGACGGGACAACACAAAAGGCCCATTGAAAGACTTGATTAACATCAGATAGGAGGTTTGCTGTGTTCTCATATGTTGTCTACTCTCATGATAATTCTAGTACCATCTGCAAAGGATGTTAGATTACTATAGTTTGTATGCTTTTCTATGTCTGATATGAGGATGAGGAAAAGTACCGGGGCAAGTACTGTACCTTAGGATAGTGAGCTTTTCCCGCTGGATGATTAAGAAGTTACTTTGTTGACTATTACATTCTGGGTTACATTTCTTAGGAAGTTGAATATCAATCTCCCTACTACCGTCTCCAGTACAGTGGCCCCTCCATTTACGAATTGAATCCATTCCCAGAGATGGGTTGTAACTCGAAAATTTGAAACTCAAAAAAAAAAAATCCCATAAAAATGTAAATTGAATTAATCCATTCCACACTCCCAAAAATATTAACTTCAAAATACATTTCATACATAATACACACACACATTTTGTATTATAATATGTATAAGTTATAGCTTACCTTTATTGATGACTCTTGTTGGTGTATGAAAAATGGTGAGGAGGAGGGGGGGGGGGTGGAGAAGTGTTACTGTTTGGAAGAGGAGTCCCCCTTCCATTATAACATCAGGCAGTGATGACTTCTCTAGGGTACTCTCTATCCTACGTTTTGCCTGCATACCACTAGGACCTGGTTGTGGTTCAGTGCTTGTTTTTCTCACTAAGAATCATTCCATAGAGATTTGTTTTCTCTGTTTTAACATTTGTCTGTAGCGAGGCATCAGTGTCATTGAAAAGGTTAAGGCAACAGCCTACTGCAGCTTGATTTGGGTGAGTCGCTTCAACATAACTTTGCATTTCTTCCCATACTGCACACCACTTCTTAATTGTTGAGGAAGCCATGGTGGGGTATATAATAATTTTTATGTTTTGAAAGCAAAAAAGCTTAAAAGCAATTAAATTCTTTACAAATAATTCAAGCGCGATCGTCACTAGGCAGGTGGTTTGGTAAACTGAAGCAGGGTCGCCTGTGCCACCAGGAACCAGGTGTTTCGTTGACCCATACATGTATCAACAAAGTCCCACGTCAAGGCAAAGGTCGCAAGTCAAGTCAAATTTTCTGACGAAATTGGGGCCATAATTTGAAAAATTCATAAGTAGGAGCATTCGTAAGGCGAGGTTCCACTGTACAGTAATTCCCTTTACACGAATTTTGTGTGCAATAACTCCATGGTCACATTTGTCGAAAGCTTTTGCAAAATCTGTGTGTATTTGGAGCATAACCAAGCAAATATTGTGTCAGCCAAAAAAATGAAAGGATGATTATGAGAACCTTCAAATCCAGGGATCCTTTCACAATGGTTGTAATATTCAACTCGCTTGCATTGTCTCATGTTGAGTACTGCTCGATACTCACTTACGTAACCCTCCAGAGTGGGAGAGATTGCTGAAATAGAGGGAATACAGAGAACATATAGGGCATACATAGAGATAAAACACCTAAATTATTGGGATCGTCTCAAAACTTTCAAAATGTACTCTCTTGAAAGGAGACGAAAAGGTTATCAAATAATATACACATGGGAAAATACTGCAGGGCCACGTTCCTAATTTACACAGTAAAATAACAAAATACTGCAGTAAAAGATATGGAAGGAAATGCAGAAAAGAGCCAGTGAAGAATAGAGGTGCCATCAGCATGATCAGAGAACACTGTATGAACACCAGAGGTCCACAGTTATTTAATATCCTTCCAGCAGTTATAAGAAATATTGCCAGAACAAAAGTAGAAGTCTTTCAGGAAAAAACTGGACACTCTTTTGCAAGAAGTGCCGGACTAACCAGGCTGTAGTGGATATGTGGGCCTGTGGGCCGCTCCAAGCAATAGCTGGTTGAACCAAGCTCTCACAACTCGAGCCTTACCTTCGGCCTAGGCTTGGTGAGTAGAAGAACTCCCAGAACCTCATCCAGGTACAATCCAGGATAGACCCTGAACAACAGAGTAGCCATCACTTTAACAACACCGGAGTTTGAAAAATCGATGAACCCCAAGAGTAGACTTGGAGGATAGCACTAGAACTTCCCCTGATTGAGACTTGCAGGGAAACTACTGCAACTCAACACAGAACACACCGTTAAGGAGACTAAATGTTGGGGAACGCACTCTTACATTACGCTTACATTTCTGGGTGCCTGTTTCGGTCGCTGGCAGATGTAGAATGCTCCAAAACCACATGTGCATTTCTATAGGCCATTGCTCCTCGTACCTCTGAGGGGGCCAGGGTCTGGCCGTGGTCCCCGGTAGACCTAGAACTCCACCCACATCGACTGATGCCGAAAGTTAGGACTATCCGTCAGCCTAGATAGTTACGGGGAGTCTCAGAGACTCGCCCATAAAATGGAGTTTCATTACATTCAACGTTTATGGTTTAGATTCGTTCTTTGTGTGGTTTCCCCTCAACAAAATTTGTGTTTTAAAATAGAAGATTAGAAATATATCATTAAAATTCTTAGTGTTATAATTAGGCGGGAAGAGAAATGCACGTCTAGTCTACATGGCGTTTATTGACAACAAAGACGTCACACTGGTTATAGGATACATGACTTGCTCTTTTGTTTAAAAGTATTGTGAAAGGCATCTACTCAACATTATGCACCTAACCTAAGTAGTACTTAGTCCTACAAAATACTTTAATCCTAACACTTAGACTATCTATTGACAGTATATTTTTTTTCCACAGGAGGTGGGATTGCATATTATCAGGAAAATAGTGAACACCCAGCATTACAAGGTTTGTACATGAATCATATTTAATAGTGACTGTAAAAGATTAAGTTGATATACTTTATGGCAGTAGAGTATCCTCAAAACAATGCAGTAGGATACCTACTGCAATCCCCTTGAATTATTATGGTTCAAGTATTGAAAGCAGTTTGCTTAAAATGTTTAAATGTTTTATTATAATTATGAACTAATTTGGAAATGTTTTGTTACCAATTATATTTTTATGCTAGCCCAGTCACTTTATGGTACAAAAATCACTTGGATTGACAAAATTGTGAGAAAGTGCTTGACCAGGGCCTTTGAACTATTTAAACGATAAGATTCTGTTTAAAATTTAATAACGTTTGCATACAATATGATGTTTGCACAAGGCAGTGCAGTATACAGTATGACAGTACGGTATTTCCATTCATACTTCAGTATAATTTTACCATTCATTCATCTTTTCTGAGTTGTCTCTCAATTGCTTCCTAAGCCAAAAGCCTTCTAGTGCCTGGAGAGATTTTGTTAAATCAGATCAGGTTGACAATCTGCTAGCAGTACAGATCTTTTCAGACTCTCCTGGAAGACTGGAATAGTCAACCCAGTCCATGATGACAAGGATGAACTTCAACTTGTCATGGGGGTCAACATCCACATAATTTGTCGTATTTTCTGAATGACCGTAATGGATTTTGTTCGTCAGGAAGTTTGAAATCAGTCTTGGCTCGTGTTCCTGGGCTATTATGGGAATGTTCCAGTTGGTTTAAGGTATGAAAACGAGGTTGTGGTCTCAGATGAATTTCACCTCCAATAACATTTTGGGCATTCCTCTTTGGATTGGATATTGTGCCCAGAACATTGACCAGTTTTGTTGTGTGGGAGCTTTGGCATCAGGGCAATGTCTTGGCCTTCTTCGGCATCTGGCTCATTTAGGCACTGAGGCATCTGATTTGAATGCTGGCCAGGAAATGGGTATATGCTTTTCTTGGCAAGATTATCTCTCTTGAGGGGGGCTGACTGGTGGCTTCCTGTACCTAGTCACACTGAGATAGATCCACAACTGTATAGCCCCACACCTGTAAGTTACATCAGCCCTTGGAGTCCTTAAAAACCTACTTGAGACCAGAGGTCAAAACCCTGGCCACCTCCCCCCTCCAAAGAGGTAGAGAGAGCAGGATATTCATGATCACCTTCATAGAAGAATCAAAACCCCAAAAGTTATTGAAGCAGAACAGACAGGTTCACAAATGATGTACATTTGCAAATTTCACAAAGTAAACAAACAATGCAGCATATGACTGCAAGCAATCCATTTGAAAAAAATTTCCAAATACATTTCTAGATCCTTTCCGTGTCTGTACTACCCAGCTTTTGAAATGGGAAAGCAATTGTAGATGTTACTTTTATTACTTTATTAGTTTCTGTAATAAAATTGTATGGTGAAAGACAGTAACATGTGCTTTACATGGGTTTTTCTTTCTTTTTTCCAGACTTTAAACCATTCGACTTGGAGGCATGGTGGGGCAAGAGAATTTATCAAAATTTGACACAATCCACCTAAAACATTAAATTTTGTATAGTTAATGCCAGGCAACTTATGCCCAATCTTTTGTCAAAATAGCATTGTAATATCTTTGATAATTGTGTACCACATAGACAGCATGTACTTATACAGAGATTACTGGAGTGGAGTCTCATACTATAGTGAGTATTGCCTCTGTGTAATGATTGGCTTCATTTGTGAATATGCTTAGCTGATTATTCTTAAGCATTTGTGACAAAGAAGCTCAATAAAAAAATTCAGTGCTGTGTAAGTTGCAGCGAGTTTGTCATTACTGACTTCTCTTCCAACAGGAAACTTTGTATGCCATGTGTCAGTATTGCAGGCCAGTGATGTAGGGGGCATGTAAAATTTTCTACTTAATGACAGACTTAATGAACTGAATTAGTCAAATGTATAAAAGAACAAAACATATGGACTGTGCAAGTAGCTTTTCCAAGTTTTGGAGAATAGTCATAGACATGGGTAGGTATTATGAGAAACAGTAGTTACTTTGTAGCATTCCATACAAAAAAAGGGACTTCTGCAAGTATTTGAATTATTCTTGGGCATATAGTGATGAAATCCATTCAAGCTGTAGACTTGCAATTAGATTAGATTATCATAACTGGTCATTTACCAGGATCATGATTAATACTCTACATATGCACCTTTGCATACTGTACAGTATGTATTTCTTAAGCTAAAATCAATAACTTCACATGCTCTGTATTCCCTATAAGATCAAAATAGCTTTCAGGAGTAAATTGAAAATTCTGTAAATGTCATTGTATTGCTTGTTAGGTATTTATTCGTATATGATCGAGAACTCCAGATACGTATGTAGTGAATGAAAATGTAATGTACATTCTTGCACCATTTATGTATTTTCGAGGATTTTTTCAATGATGTACATTTCAAGTGTCAGGTTAAGAAATATTATATATTTCTGATTATACTTGCTATACAGTACAAAACCAGACTGTAATGCCACCTGAGAGACAAGAACTAGCCATTATAAAAACCAGCTTAGGTTCTAGGTTTATTATAGCAGATGCAATTAGTTGGAGTCTCATGATATTTCCAAAAGTGTTTGAAGGAAAGTCTACCTTGTGTATGCACACTACAATAACAATTGTGATGGTTGTTATATAAAAATTTCAACCCCTTTTATATTGAACTGTTTTGTACTTGTTTGATATCATATATAGTCATCATTTTGTATTGACATTTTATCAGTTTGTGATCAGTCTGGAGCACAAAAATCAGCTAACTGCTTAAATTTAGTCAAATTTTTAGGTATTGCAAGTGGAATGTGTAATATTGTAGCTGCAGTTATTGTTGCCAAGCAGTTCCTTCATGATCCAACCACTCCCTACTCTTATACAAACATGTGGAGGTGATAACGTGTTCCTTTATTTCAACTTTCAAAGAATGAATGATTGCATCATATATTTTTTTAAAGAAGTTGTTGGCATTTATGTATGTGCATACTCTTATAAAAATATGCACTTGAATAACAACACTTGGCGACCTCACACAATGCAAGCTTATGTCCCATCAGTAGCTCATGTCTACAGTCTCTCTTCTCTTAAATTGTCTTTTGAAGGAGAGTTGAATAAAATATACTAAAAATGTGACAAATCTCTAAGCATTCTGTAAATATTAATAAATAAAATGCAGCAGAACCTCTTTAATTTGACTGAAACTGAACAAGGCTTTGCCGAGCTATTTTTTCATGGACCGTGAGGCAACAATGTTTAAAACTTGATCTGTTGTATAATCTGTGCATTAATTACTGTAGTACTGTATTTAAATCTGGCAAAACTATTAGCTTTTATCATAATATTAAATAAATAATTTTTTGAAATTAATGTACTGTATATAGTAAATGTTACTGCATATTATTAATTTCTTTGTATGTATATGTTTTGACAAACAAATATTTTCTGTTTTAGCTAGGAATCATATTAGAAGGGCTTCACTGTACATTTTACTGTTAAACCTTTTTATAGGTAATTTTGTGTATGGAAGTTTTTAAATGACTTTATAAATATCTGATGAAATATGTTGATGTACAAGTTCAGTTCCCATGGTTGGGATTAATATTTTAGGAAAGAAAAACACCATTGTCGGTCATGAGGCCCCAACTGTGGTACTGCCATGCATGTCAGGTATCTCCCTTGTCCAGTGTCGGTCATGAGGACCCCAACTGTGGTGCTGTCATGCATGTCAGGTGTCTCCCTTGTCCAGTGTCAGTCATGAGGCCCCAACTGTGGTGCTGTCATGCATGTCAGGTGTCTCCTTTGTCCAGTGTCAGTCATGGGACCCCAACTGTGGTACTGCCATGCATGTCAGGTATCTCCCTTGTCCAGTGTCGGTCATGAGGACCCCAACTGTGGTGCTGTCATGCATGTCAGGTGTCTCCCTTGTTCAGTGTCAGTCATGGGGCCCCAACTGTGGTGCTGTCATGCATGTCAGGTGTCTCCCTTGTCCAGTGTCAGTCATGGGGCCCCAACTGTGGTACTGCCATGCATGTCAGGTGTCTCCATGTCGAGTGTCGGTCATGAGGCCCCAACTATGGTACTGTCATGCATGTCAGGTGTCTCCATGACGAGTGTCAGTTGGATGAAGGGGTTGTCTCCCTTTGGAACTCAAACTCGCCAGTCCTACCTTTGCTACATGTAGAGGTATGATGTGTTGATTTCAAATCTGCTGCCATAATAAGAATAGCATATTGTCATAGCTTACATATATTTTTTTATTGTGTATTCTGGCTATGTGATATAATAGTTGATGAAGCAAAGTGAGCTCAGTTCCCTGGGGGCACAACCTGATCGTTTAGTCTGTGATATTATTTTGTTTCTACTTGTGAGTGGCTTCACAAATTGAGACAAAGTATTTTGAACCAATCTTGATGCTGGATATCTTTGACCTGACATACTTTGTACAAATAAATACACAAAATTGTTTCATGTATTTATAACCCATGTGATAAAAAAATCATAATACCATGTAAGAAATTCAGCTGTACCAATACTAATATTTTGACTGATAAAGATATTGCCTTATTAACCAATACCAAACTGCATTGTTCCACTTGTGCACCTCCTTGTGGAATGTCCTGATTTCAAAAAGATTGTTCGTTTTGCTTTCTTAATGTCCCTCCAGAACATTTGTTCTTCAATAGAGTAATTATCAAAAGAAGGCACCAAGCCAGGAAGACTATGTAGCACTATCAGTGCTGCTGGATATTCAAAAGATGCCAAATATCACATAGGATGCCAATACTAGAACAAAATGAAGTAAAGCAAGCGATATCAAAGGTACAGTATTAGATTAACCATGGATTCTATTGGGGACAAATGACAGATATTGGGGAAACAAAATGTAAGATTGTCCTAAAAATCGGAACAATCTACAAGAAGATGCACGACGGCAGGTGCGATAACGCAGTTCAAACAATAAGAAGCTGGGCAGCATTCCATTAAGTGCCTGTTAGTTAAACATATGAGGCTAATATGTAACTTAGCCAGTGATGTCTTCCACCACCATTATACTGTGGTAGGAGGAAAGTCAAAGTGATAGATTACCTTTAAGAATGCATAGGTTGTTACCTGTAATGCCAGACCAATGACCCTGCCAACAGGTGCAGATTGAGGAAGGAATGAATGAATTTGTACAAATGTGAATAAGGGATGCCTTTTGGGGAAATAAGACAAGTGTGGGTGGCTGCCTTAATGACCATGCTCACACATTTATTTAAGGGGCCAAGTGCTTTTTTATGCATAGATTTTAGTTTTCATTTTTTTTAGCTTAACTTATTTATTATATATTCCAACTTTGTTTAAATGTAAAATATTGTAACATACAAATATAACAAGGATTTTTCTGGGGGGAAACCCCGTCGGCTCCCTAGAGCTATCCAGGCTGATACGTAACTATTAGCTTTATGGCATCAAAGTGCATGGAGTTCTTGCCTACCAGGAACCACAAGCCAGCACCTGGCCCCCATCAGAGAGGCACGATGAGCAATGGCCTATAGAAACCCCTGTGTGGTTGGAAGCATTCTGTCTGCCATCGACCAGGTCTGGCACCCCCAAAACAAACTCTTATTCTGGTGAAAATATTGCTACCGAAAGCCGAGTGAGTGGACAGAACTCCCAAATTGAAAACTAGTACACTAGCATAACGTCATTATGTCGCAACGCTGCCATTTGCGCAACCCCCTCTCCCCCTCCCCAGGAGGGGGAAGGGAGGCCCCCAGACCCCTATGCCAGCGATCCAAACGGCAATTCTTAGGCTGTATGGCAGAAACACGCGAAAACATTGTGTCTAGCTTCAGACACGAGCATTGTCGGAAAATCCGACACCAATTAATAATATCATACAGGCAGATAATATGGCTGCTGTATTGTATACACAAGTTACCCATAGAAAATGTAACTTGTAGTGGAACTTTCCATCTATAGAAAACGGGATATCATTGCCACATACTATTGTAAATTCACCAGCTATTTTTTTTTTTTTTTTGAGATATATACAAAAGTTGTTACATTCTTGTAGAGCCACTAGTACGCGTAGTGTTTCAGGCAGGTCCCTGGAATACGATCCCCGCCGCGAAGAATCGTTTTTTCATCCAAGTACACATTTTACTGTTGCGTTAAACAGAGGCTACAGTTAAGGAATTGCGCCCAGTAAATCCTCCCCGGCCAGGATACGAACCCATGACATAGCGCTCGCGGAACGCCAGGCGAGTGTCTTACCACTACACCACGGAGACTGTAAAATTCTGCTGGGAATTATTCTTAAATACATTAGTCTTTGGACTTTACCATCCTAAAAACATCTTATTTAAATTAACTTAATTATCAGTATCAAACTAGAGTAAATGTGACCCTTCTATCACTTCTATCTGGACCTAGATTCAGGAAGCTCTGTGTATTTCTTCGTAAGTGGGTTTGCTACGAAGGTTCCTAAGTGCGCCCTAAGAAGATGCTTAGGTGCGATTCAATAAGGTCCACTTAGGAAGAAAATTGTTGGTTCACCTGCGTGCCGATAGAGGTCACTACTGTGTTTCGTTTGGCCAATCAGAGAGCAGCAACATTCTTCATATTGGAGAGTTAGCGCTGGCTTATCGGAGCTCTACTGCCTCCTATTTACGTCGAATTTTCTTATAAAATTAGTATATTTCGAAGTAAAACAATGTTTTTTCAACTTCTACAGCCAGCACCGACATTGTAGTAAACAAATATGTTACATTTGTTGTTTACCTACGTAATTCTAAGAGATACTGTGTAGCTGTCCTTGTTGCTCGGAAGATGCGCTGATAATTATTGTATATATTTACCCAAGGGCCACTAACTATCTAGTGGCCTCGAAGAGGACAGAAAGCCGGCGGCTTGTTAAAGGGCCCGCCAATTGTCTTAATGATATTTTTTAGCTGGAATTTGGCATTTACGGCTTCAGCGGGTAGGCGGTTCCATGAGATTATAGCTCTCTTGGTGGAAAAAAAAACATCTGTTTTCAGTCCTACTTGAGAGAACATACTCTCCAACACTATATCTGTGATTGTCCTGTTATCAGTGACTTCATACCAAATGGTATGAGGTATTTTGAGCTCTGTAATTACTTCATACACTGAGGAATATTGGAAGATATTCTTGTGCTGCACCCAGATTTTGCCAGTGGGGGCTAATAGATCAGCATTAAGTGTTTTGTTCTCTCCTAATTCCATGTATGACTGGCCATCCTGTGAGGTGAGGATGTTGGATGAGCTTGTAGCTGGTTTTTGATCTACACTGTGTGGTCCTTTATACAGAATAAGGAAGCAGCACATTGCTGTGTATACCTAAACATGTTTAAAAATACATTGTTTGAGAGGAGTCTGGTAGAAACTGGTAAGAGTAATTATAATATAATGTTTCCATGATTCAGTGCTTACCTCTTGTGAAAATTGCTTAGAGTTGTTTAGTCAGAATTGATTTGTTTTTTGTATTGAGGCTGGTATTTTCTAAATTGATTCCATGTACAGTATGTCTAACCTTCCTGTGAGATGGGAGTATTAGATAAACTTATAGCTAGTTTTTTATCTACACTGTGTAATATTCCATATAGAATAGGGTAGTAGTACATTGCTGTGTATACCTAATCATCTTAATAAAAAAAATCAGTAATATAGATTTTAAATTAGTTTGTATTATTACAAATTCAGTACTGTATTATCCTTATTAAATCATGTTGACCATGGATCATTAAGATCTCATGTTCATATGTAATAGTCATATTTCATTTGAACTGCTAATCCAAGCTAATCATTCATTAAATTGTGCATTATGTCTCTATTTTTCACTTCCTTGGATATACTGTACAGTACAAAAAGATAGGATAAAAATAAACCAGTAATATTTCTTTCATTATATTTTTCATTTAAATAACTGCATCAATATTTTTACAGCTGACAGGATTTGTTTTACCATGCAGGTGCATTATTTGTTAAAAAAAAACTTTGGTTGATTGTTACACACAATGGTGCTACATAGCCTTCCCAGCTTGGTGCCTTCTTTTAATACTTACTGATTAAAAAATAAATAATAAATACATTTTATTCAGGAAAAGTACATACAGTTGATTTACAAACATAATGTTGGATTTATAGGCAGAGCTAGTACTGTACATACAATACCTAAAGCCACTATAATAATAATAATTTTTATTTAGGTAAAGGTACATACATAAAGAGATTTTACAAAGTTTGTTGGCTTTATAGATAGAGCTAGTACATACAATGCCTAAAGCCACTATTACGCAAAGCGTTTCGGGCAAGGTGTGGGGGAAAAAACACAGACTAAAACTTAATAGTAATCAGGATTAGGTATAAATTGTGTTGAAATAAGGAATAAAAAGTACAAAAAGGGGGGTTAACATAGCATAAATCAGCAATTGCACATGTTGGTGAAAAGCGTTGTTTAAAAAATAGCAAGACATGGGTTGACATTTAGGAGGTAAGTTAGGTTACATGGAGTTAATTAGGCAGTACTTGGTTTAACTCTTAAACTGGTTGAGAGGGTCCATAGAATTACCCCAATCATCCCAAATCAGGCCAAAACTACCCAAAACGTATTAGCATTACGTAAGTAATGAAGAAATATGGTATATTTACTTACTATAATGTTGGTGCTACACGTAGAACATGATCAAACCTATTTTTTCTCTGAAATAATCTAATTTCATAACGAAATGAGACGTAAATATGTGAGAGGTGACGCCATAGGAAGTCGACGGTCCAAGCGACAATTGTGTGGAGCGACTTATCCAAGAAATATGGTCGCCAGGAGAGTGTTTGCTGCCATATCAGCCTCCTGTACACAGTGATCCAGTCCTTTTCGTTCATTGAACACCGAACCCTACACGCCCTCTGATATATTGCTTAATTAACAAATATTCACAAATAAAGATTATATTTGTATATGTTATCAGAAAGGCAGATATAAAATAGTTTTTGTGAATCCATCACAGAGATTATACCTTATTAGAGAGGAAAAATATTCATACTTTAAACAAGGCTTCATGGCCGACGCTCTCCTTACCGATATGGGAACTATGACCTTCCGAAGATCAATGTTAATTTAATCTAGATATTGTAATAAACGAAGTTTTCTATGTCATCATAAAGACATAAATATAAGCTGCATGTTAATACTTTGGCATAAATATAACTGAATTGAAAGTTAAGATATATGCCTTTTTATAGTTACTTGATGGCTCGCTCAGGGAGTGTGAAGGCCTCCACACAAGCCAATCAATTTTATAATTACTTTGCATATATGCAAAGTAACGCCATAGGTCTTTATGTCAGAATAAAGCCATGTAGACGATAATGTAACTACATTTCAAGGAAAACATATCTTAATATAATTATTAAATGAATGCAAAGTTATGGTTAAATAAATAGCCAATACCACACAATC